AACTGTTGAAGTATATACTATTTCAAAATGTACTTTGTTAATGGCCTGGTTTGCACTTAGTGTTACTTGCTGTATTCACAAAAGACAATTTAAAAAACATTTGCTTAAAAAGTAATTGTACCCGTCTGTGCGTTCTGGTTATTTATGGAATTCTAGATCAGTAGTGAATTTCAAAGCACTTACATTTTCATTGTAAAGGATTGGAAGTTGATCACAGTTTTCAGCAGTTGTATTCATATCAGTTCTTTAGGGTCTTCACTGGCATGGACAAATTCTGCTTGATTTGTTGATAATGCAATTGATCTTTGAAGTTGGCATGACAGAAAGACAGTTTCACCAACATAGTTTATAATAATTCCAATAATTAAACACTGAGTGTTAATGTCTTCAGCAGTGGCGGTATAGTAATTGCCTTCAAATTAGATCATTGTTCCTTTGATGAGAGAGACCATGTTTAGCATTACACAGATACTTAATGTTAAATCTGTAATTCTGTCATCATACTATCATTGTACTTCTTGGCAACACTCTTGTAATCTCATGTTTATAATCTATGAATGGGTTTCAGTGGAGTATGTCCCTGTGATTTTGTTATTTTTATTACACTTTAAGCTTAAATGAATTTATTTAAACTAGTACAGTTTATAGATCCACTTTAGTGCAAAATAACAATTTATTGAACGAATGTCTTTCCATTGTATTCTCAGTTTAGAATTCAGGAAACAGAAGTTAGAATGCCTAGTATAAATGTGCCATCTATATACAAATTCAACGAACAAAATTATTCACAATGCAGATTGGAAATTACTTGTGCTCTCAAGGCAAAAGGAGCATTTTATATCACCAACAGAATTATGTTTAAGCCAGAAATTGATGAAGTGGCAATAGCAGAATGGGAAAAAGATGTTGCAATTGCAATATGTACAGTATTGTCTCCAATGGAACTTTCACAAGTCATGTTTATTGAGAATTGTTCTTTATCAAATGTAATGCATAAAAAAATTGGACTTCGTCCTGAAATTGAAATATAACTTTAACGAAATGTTGATGCTCGACAAATTTTATCAGTTGAAAGTGGAATGCAGTGAAACAGTAGTGCAGTACATTGCAGAAATTGAAAATCGTGCTCATCAGATCAAGGACTCTGGCGAAAATATCAGTGATGCAACTATAATTACAAAAATTTCAGGAACATACCTCTGAAATGTAGAAATTTCAGATAAACCTGGTTATCTTATGTTAGTGATAGCAAGCAAAACTGATCTAATCTGACTGCAAGATTCATCAATGAAGAAACTGCTTTACCACAATCAGGGAAAAGGGAGTCTGCATTTTTTGCTTCTAATCACAGTAAATTTAAGCAAAAAAAAAAAAAAAAAAAAAAAAAAAAAAGCAATACACATGAGATTCAGGAAGCAAGAATATATTTAAAACTAATAATGGAAGTGTATATAAAAACCCAAACTAAGATGCTATATCTGCTGCAAAAAAGGACATTATGCTCAAGAATGTCATTTTAAGCAATGTGGAAAAGAAACTGGTGTTTCAGAAACTATTACACCAAATTAAGTGCTGCATTTAGCAACAAAAAAGAGAAAACTATAAAAAGAAGTGGTGACCAGCAGATTTTAGACAGTGGTGTATTTGTTTATATGACCTGCAATCATCTCAGGTACTTTGACAGCTTTACTGAGAAAAATGAAAATGAAATTATCCATCATGTCAACAATGTAGAATTAAATGGCAAGAAGGAGAATTATGCAGTGTTCTCTGTATTCCAGATTTAAAGAACAATCTTTGCAGGTGTTATTACAGGTAAAGGTATGCAGGTAATAAAAATGCAAGGCCATGCTAACAAATATAACTGTGTAGATGAGTTAGTTGACTCAGCTGTATACATTCTGCAAACAACTTGTATCACATGCTTTTTAAAACTACAGTTTCTCCTGAAGCAAACATTTCTCATAAGGATAATCTAAGAATGAGATATAAAAGAAAAGGGCACATAAAAATGAGATATAAAAGAAAAGGGCACATAGACGTGAAAACTATATGAACTGAGTTATAAACAACTAACTGGAAAGCAAGATGTCTCAAACAAAGATGAATTCTTTTGGAGGCTGCCAGTACAGTAAACAAGATGGATTGACATTTAGTTAGAAGGAGTATAAGGTTACTGAATGAGCAATTTTAATACAGAATGACATTTGTGATCCTATGTCCACATAGTCAGTAGGTGGAGCATATTATTTCATATTAATGAAATATGATTACTGTGGCTTTAGAATAGTTTCTTTCCTTAGATGCAAATTTGTTAAATGCACTCATATAATTAAATAATGTCAATTCTCTTTAGATTGTTACTAAATCATGAGTTTTAAATAATGATGCAATTATTATTTCAAAAGTAATTACTGTATATACTTAACCTTTATTATTAATTAAAATGAAATGCATGTCAATTTCAAAATTCTCAAATGCCCAAAGCCTTTTTTAGGTCTGATCTGTTATCACATACATGTAGACACAACAAAAGGAAAGTTCATACCTTAGTCACAGAAAATTTACTATCGTTATCTCTTACATACGAATCATACATTGGCACCGATTATAATAATGTTTTTGCTGTTGCAAAATCATTTGTCATTTTCATGAAATAATTTCTGTGAATTCTATTAAATTGTTTATTTTATAATTGGTGCTGATATTTGTGATCTAATAAATTTAAGTGTCATTTCCTGAGGAAGTAATTTTTTAATTGTTGGACATAGCAAGGTGCTGATACCACATTTAATGCTTCAAGACATCTTATCTGAGTCTGTATTTTATCGTGCAAATTGCAAAATCCTTATAAATCAATCACAGTTTTCAATGGATACATGTTCAACAAATTACTCATGTGAGCATTAATAATAATGTCCTTCTTTCCAAAATGATCATATAAGATATTCATTAAAGTACAGTATTTTGTCAATAATGGAAATTTTCAAATGCAACTAGCAGCTGTTCCTTCAAATGTGCTTTAAAATAAGTAAATCTATCTGCTTTGTTAAATGTTTCAGTATTATGGATTAATGATTTAAAACTGTTCCAGAAATTAATCTCTTCACTCACTAATGGCTACATAGACTATGGGAATTGAAAGTTTTGGTAATTTTAGCATTTGGTGCATCTTTAATATTTTGCTGAGTGTTCACTTCCTTTACCAAAACTGCAAAGATCAAGTCATCTTTAAGTTCTTTAGTACATTAAATCTAAATATTCCTAATGTATTTTCTCATTATGTTTTTCTATAATTTTATTTTCATTTTCAAATCCATGTATACTTAAAACTGGTTCTAATTCGGATTCAGTTTTTATTCTGGCTCTGATTTGACACCCGAAAGTGGTTTGGTTGAAGTGTTGATTAAGAAGGTGTTCTAACAATTCTTCAAACTCAGCACATACTTGTGATTTATCTAATTCATACTAGGTTTTCTTAAATAGTTTTGTAATGAGATTGAGACAGTTTTCTTTTTCTAATTTATGTACTTTTATCTCTGCTGATTTTCTTTAATTTAAATATATATATGCAAAATGTATGTTTCAGGAACAAGAATTATCTTTCGCTTTGAAAACAAATTTTTTTCCTTGCTGAATACTTCAAGAAAACAAGAATCAAAAATCAACTTACTTCTGTACATTCGAATGTAGATATTTCGTATTCTGTAATTTTTTTTAAGATCACATTAGTATTGCTGATGCGTACCAGACAATTGTTTTGTCTTCTATCTATATTCTTATATCAAATAAATACTTACCTTTGTTGTAGATCATCAATCTGTGATTCCCAATAAGTGGTATTTAGCATCCACTTCTGAGATTTTATGAACAGTCTTCTATGTTCTTGTTGTGAGTCACAGATAGAATGTACTCTATCATCATGCTTTATACTTTTAATGCAGCAATTTTTTAATGGAGTTATATACATATACGTAACTAATCACATGCTCGAAGATAATTTTTTTTAACATATTGCCATTTACATTTGCATTGCACCCACTCATGCTTTTTTAATATATTCCCATTGCATTTGCATTGCACCCACTCATGCTTCTGACACTACACCCGCTGATGGTAGCTTTCTTTCTGGGCCATCTTTTAACAGAGTAGAGGCATTTTTAATTAAAAGCATCTGCATTATAATTAGAATATAAACATTTATTACTTAGTAATTACAACTCCTAAAAGTAAAAAGTTATGTACAACACAACTGTAAGAAGTTGTATATGTACTACACCATCAACTCAGTTTCAAATTATAATTTAGCTTATTTCAATAATTTTTCAGTGTTGGACATTAGGAACAGTTCATCTTCCAGGGCAATTTCATATTTCACAATAATGCTATGAGTTTTAGAATCGGGCCTGATTTGGAAGTTTTCTAAAATGCTGATCATCATGACTTTAATGATAAATATGTGCACATTAAAAAGGGGGAACATACTATATAGCATTTGGTTCATATAATTAGGTTTGAATATAAAAATTTGTTTCACAAAATGTTTTTTTAAAATTTACCAAATGCTAGTTTATGAATTCTTTGTGTTTATGACTTGTAGTTATAAAGAATCTAGGATGATTAAGAACTTGTGGAACAGGAAATGCTAAATGCTGGCTTTGGTTGGATGTTAGCCATGTTTATTTTTTGGGGATTATATATTTCATTACAACTTTATCTTCATGAGTATCTGGTGTATAATATTACCAAAAGTATATGTGTAATTGTTATTAATTACCAGAAAGTTATATTGCTTAATACTAGTCATTGTGTAAATTCAAAGGTGCTTGTAAGAGCAACAATTAGGAACATTTTCATGTGTAAAGTGACTTGTTTATTGCATGCTTTTACCTAAAGTATTATGTGAGAAACATGTTAAATGGATTCAATTGTTTATAAAATTCTTCTGTTGTAACATGCAAGCATTAATATTATGTGCAATCCATTTTTGTCCTTAATAGGGAAAGAAATTGTAAGAAGCTACACTCCTGTTCTTCCGTCGCTTGATAGGACTCCAAAGCATGCAGATGGACGTCACATAGTTCTTATGATAAAAATATATCCAACTGGAACTTTGACCCCAGTAATTGATAAATGTTTGAAAGGTAAGTTGTGTTTTTAAGCATAAGTAAAGTAATTAAAATAATTACTGTGTTTTCTGAAGAAATATGAAAGAGGGATATATGCTCAGATAATTTCATTATTATTAAAAAGTTATACATAATTGATAGCCAGATTTTTATCTGGAAAACAGTCTTTCATATATCTGCATTAGTTTCATCAACTAGTCATTCTGTACATTTTAATCCCTTAATTAATCAGTCACATTTGCTTTGCGCTTCAGATTGATGAGAGTATTCTTATTGGTTTAATTTTGAGCAATATTTTTGGAACAGTAGTTGTCTCCTACATTGTAGGAAAGGTTTATCTGCAGTCCTTCATACAGCTGCTGTCATTGAATTTTGGAAACAGAAAATGTTGTACGTGGACTTGAAGTTGGATAGTTAACCACAGCCATGCAGAAAATATTTGTCGTCAATCAATGTAATACAGGGGGATCATGGATAATATGTGTTGCCTCGTGACAATGTCACAACTGCAACCCACTGCGGGATTTTTTACTTGTTAAATTCTTTTTTGGCTTACTGCTTCCACATTAGCATCACTGTTGGAGCATTATGTTCAGTGTAAACAGAAGTGTTGCAGGGCAATACCCCCCTTGAAGCTGATAAGTCATCCTTATTGGAACTATAATATGTTTATATTGTACCCTTAAAATCGATAAAGCGTAGACTCTCTTGTATGACAGTTTCCATCTGGCTAATGGTATTGCATTACTTGGCAGGCTTCTCAGTATCTTTATATGGCTCTTACAACTGTTTAGAGGTTACTACTGAGCAGAAGCATGTGCATTCTGTTTGCATTTACAATAAATTTTATTCTATTATGCTTCACAGTGTTGTATTTTTGCTGTTGTAACTGTAAGTGTTAAATGTGTTTATACCTTGGGATCAATTGATTATCTACATTTAAATTAATTTTCCATTTATTTTTTTTACACCACACTGGCAACAGTTGTCTTTTTGGTTTCTGAATAATTTTTCGAACTAAGTGTAGGAATACAAATATATTGATCGTTAGTTTGTAGAAGCACAAACATATTAAAAATTCTAATCATATTTAAATATTAATATTTCCATTAATTTATTTTCACACCCAGGAATAAAATCATCAGTAAAGTTTATAACTTCAAAATTCATTTGGCTGAACATAAAAAAGACACAACAATGGGCTTGAGTGTGCATATCCTTCAGAACAAAGTTTCTTGCCGCACAAAATCAGTTTTTGAAAAATATCAGGAACCTACTGAAAGATTATAAGGACTCCATATTGACATAATAGGGCCATTAACCCCATCAAATAGAAAATGTTTATTGCTTGACTTGCATAGATATATGTATAAATTGTGTTAAGTATATATGTTAGCATGTTGAGTATCATGTCAGCCATCTGTGGCTGACACTAGACTTTCCGTTTAAGCCCTGTCGACCGCCGCTGGCTGGCAGCGTGTAACATGATATATAACTATAAAATTTACATTGTTTTATGGAATTACAGAAAATTTATTTACAATTTACTTAATTTGATTCATTACATGACTAATGGATTTCATTGAAACACAGTAAACGTAAAAACGGTTCTCCATTACGGCCATTACAAAATGTGACAACTCTCTTAGTCTTTTTTTCTGGCCATTACTCCTGGCCCTACAATACCAGCACTTTTAAGCGGCGCGTGTGGCCTGAAGGGATTGCCTAAGAAATATGCAAGGTGCTCAATGTGTTAAATAACATACAGGCAGAAACCATCACAAAAGCTTTCTACAACAATTAGGTTTCAAAATTTTAAACATCCTGTAAAATAGTAAGAGATATTGAAGCGCAATATTAGTCTGAAATATTTGAGAACATGACGAGACTCTGGTTTCAAGCTTAATCATACAACAGCTTACCTACCATCCACAGTGCACTGGCAAAATAGAATGACTTCATAAGGTCACTCAGTGCAGTCCAGGCCCATAACTACCTAACCTGGACTAAAACTTACTGCCCTCTTAAGATTGCGATCTGCAATACAAGATACAAATTGTACAATAGCAGAAAGATTTATGAAGAACCTTTAAAACTACCTGATGAGTTCTTCACAGGAAATTCTATTCATATAACACCAGAAGCATTTGTAAGTGATCTTAAAAAACAAATGGAATTCATAATATCATCACATCATAAAAATTCACAAATTTTTCATTATAAGGACTTAAATATGCTCTCATATTTCTGAGAGTAGACAGAGTTAAAAAAGTCACTTGAACCTCCTTATGAAGGGCCATTTTTGGTGACTGAACAAAATCTAGAAGCCAGTGAGATGATTTTTATAATGTTCAGTATTAACAATTGTTTAACAGCTTCGTGATCTGGAGGCAAAATTGCAGGATTTCGAAAATCTAAAGAATCCTTCCTGAAAATGATGTTTGTTCTCAGGCTGAGAAACCCCTTGTTTTCAATATTATTAAGCTCGATTTCTTACTATTGTTTGCTGTAAAACCTTCATGTTTAATGACTTTCACAACTTGCTTCTTAGCTTCTTGGAAATCTTGACATTGTAATTTCACAGTTATATGTAAAGATTTCAGATTTCATCAATTAAAAATACATCTTTTGACCCAAGCTACCATCGTATCAATTTATGATAGTTAAAAAAATAATAATATTACCGTTTCCATTCAGTATGTGGAAGTCGTATTACATACTTCACAAATAGCTATTGATTCAAAGAGCAGGCAACTGATTGACTTATCAGATTCAAAATGACCCTTTTTCTATCTTGTGACATTGCATCTTCATTCCACGTTTGGCAACAAGCCAATCATTTTCACTCTGCTTGAGCCAAGTGGGTCCCTCCCACCATTTACTTTGTGACAGATGATTTGCTGAGCAACTTCTTGAGGGAGGATTGGCTGGATTCAGAACTCCAGAATTTTCCAATTTCCTTATTTTTTTACAGGGTTCTCACGAAAATTGTCCAAGTGTAATTTTTCTGAATCCTACTTGAAACCATGGTTGAGTCAGTCCAGGAGTATTGTTTAACATTATCCCATTGGAGATTTTCTATTACTACCTTATACATTCGATTCTGACCATTGCTGCAAGTCATTCTGTATGAGGAAAGGTAAAAGGTTTCGCTGGAGCCACCCTTCAATTTGCATCTAGAAGTTAGATGTGAACAGCGTCATAACTCTGCTTGATCAAATACAGCTGTGACATGTGCTTAGTTAATGGCATTGCAAAAAGTACGGATACTAATACCATTGATACAGCTTCAGTCTACTGAAAGACAAGGTTTGATGGCTACCTACTTTAGCTAATAAAGTTTCAAAAACCTTTCCAGAAACTCCTCCTTAGTTTCATCTTTGATTTTAGTATTCCTTGTGATTCCAGATTTTTAAATTTCTTGCAGCAACAGTTTTGGTAATAGTAAAACAGGACTCAGGAAGCCTGTGGAGTCGAACACTTTATGTGTGACTGAAAGAATATATCTTTTTGATATAGTTTCAAAATTATAATTTTCTCACCAATCCAAGTGCACTTTAAGCACATAATCTTTATGATTCCACACTAGTCCTTAGATGGATAAAAATTGATCTGGATCTGGGTCTCCTGTATATTGCCATCCTCTCAAATGAAATTTCTTGTCTGCCATTATATAATTGACATCATCAGTAAAAGGTTGGGTTTCACATTCCATATTCAAACTAGTTACCAGATTATCCAAAAGTCTCTTAGAAAGTTTGTTAATAATCTGCTTGTTGTATTTGTGATTTTTTGGATATTTCTATGGATGATCACGAAGCATACCTTCTAATAGAAAAGGGTTACTTTTACAGCAAATACCACTCTTTTATGATGCGTAATCTTCAACGTAATTGTATCATAACTCTACCACAAAAAACAAAGGTGATCTTGATCTTCAGGTCTCGCACTAATTTGCTGAATAGCCTTTTCAATATCAGCAATAATGCCTAATCATGTTTCCTGAATCTCAAAAGAAGACAAAATCAATTCTGTCAAATTAGGTCCAGATTCTAAAAAGTAATTTAAAGAGGGAGAGTTAATCCGTCTGGCCGGTGCATGAAAATTGAATGTACTCGAATGGTCCCCTGTTGCTTTGTAATAGGTAATGTTCATGAGAGACAACCTTGTCCAGTACTTCTTCAGTGATTCATAGTGAAAGCCATTCCTTGAAAACCTTGTTATTTACTGGAACCAAATTCTCTAACTGAAGTTTTTTAATTGTAGTCACCAACTGTTTCAAAGCTATATCTTGGTTGGTTGAAATAGGAAGATGGTCACCCAACAGCCTTAGAGCCGTTTTATCATGCCCTTTTTCACTGATTTTCACGTTTCTATAGTAATTAGTCTGCAAGATGAAATTCCTCTTTTCATAAAGAGCCTTTCCACCATGCCAGCGCCAATTAGAATATCAGTCGGTCAGTTGACATCAGTTGATGTCAGTGATTTCAATGTCCGTAGATTTCCTCTACCTAAGGTCCATTTCTTGCTGATAGAATAGTATCACATGTTGTCTTGGTCAAGAACATCAAAACTGCAGAAAAATTTAACGTCTAAACTACATAGTTCAATTTTATATACATTATGTGGTTTTTTTTTCACCAATTGTAGCTCCTCTGAAGAGTAACTGAGATAATATTTGCTGATGAAAAGGTTTTAAACCTAAAGTAGAGGCAGTTTCCTTTTTGATATATGATCTTGGAATCCAGATTCAAATAATGCCCTAAAGCATAAAGAAGAAATTTTCCCAATCAAATTTATCTTTAATGTCTGCAACAAAACTTTAGGTGAACTAGAAAAGCTAGCTAGACTAATTGTTTCCATATGATTTATTTGCTTTATCGGATATAGATTTTACTACTGCTGTTTTACTAATAAGCAGTTAAAGATACATCATTAGATTGTGATTCTTGTTATGAAAAGTATATCAAAAAATTTTGACACTTATTTGAATGATACTCTACTTTAAAACATTTGAAGCAGCATCCTTTTTCCTTCAAATTCTTTTGTTTTACTAATGTCATTTGCACTCTGAAACATTTCAATCATATTTGCTGTTGCAAAAAAATACAGACCTTCTTTGAATAAATTTGTGCTAAATTGTCCAGCAATCATATGGAATTTTTTGTACGTTTTTCAAAATTTTTTTTCTTTAATTGAAATTTCATCTCCAAGTTTAATTTAGCCATAGCTAAATTTACCCACCCTTTACCACCTGAACTTTCATTTCAAGATTTCAAGAATTTTACTAAATTATCAATTCAATCTTTCAGATCACTGCCTTGGTCAGTATTTGGGCTTCTTTGCCAAGCTCTAAGAAAGTCTTCCTGCATGCACGATTCAAACAAGTAAAGCAGCAGTGTGTCTGGTAATGCCTAGAAATTCAAGATCTCACATCTGAGTCGTGCATCATAAAGTGTGCATAAATCACGAGAATAATTATATGACAAGGCATTTTACTAAACTGGGTTTAACTGCTGTCTAATAAATACCTATAGCAATAAATCATCTCAAGAAAAACAAAATTTCAAGCTCTCCACAGCTTTTGGGTAATTTTCTCCTATCAGAGGGAAACTTTTAATGAACCAAGAACTTTCAGCTGTAGTTTGTAATAAATATTGAAATTTGTCTGAATCAGTGATACATGAATCTTTGTGTATTTTTTCAAATTGGCTGCAAAATTGCAACTCTAAATGAAACTAAGTAGTTTCAATTTCTGCCCGTTTGAAATTTTACCGCTCAAATTGCCAACAGTATCAGCAAGATTATTGTCTAAATGAATAGAAGTAACACTATTCATATCTCTTTTCTCCCCTTTTCGCTATTAATTTGCTGAGCTTTTGATTTAATTCTTAAAACCCATTTTGTGAAAATCTTCAACAATATCATTTCAAAATCACTTTCTGCTAAAAGTGCAAAAATATCCAGTGAGTTTGTTCCAAATGTTCATTCATCATTCGAAATAGAAACATTTAATTCAGTTTCAAGCACAGAAATATCTACTTCATGTTCATTATTCAGTTTTTCTAATTTATTATAAGCTTTAGTGAAAGCAGAACACTGAGCCGTATGAGCCTCCAAAAGACATTCCATCTCTGAATGCGAAAATGAATTAGGTTTACCTTCACAATCTTTTTGATTTCAAATTATTCACATTGTCCTGCCGAGCATTTTATTAAAAATTATGCTACGCAGAAAATAAAATATGCAACCAGTCACAAACTCGATGAGAAACCTCTAGGAAAAGGAAAAATTTTAAAACATGGAGTTAGTTAAAACTTTAGATGTGTGTTTCTGTAGTTGAGTGACTCAGTTATCCTGATTGAAGTGAATGAAGATTTAATCTCTGGGCAGATTCCACTACAGCTTGAATGGAATATGAAGAAGTATGTTCAGTATTCGTAAGCAATCGGCTGAAAGAAATTGGAAATCTTACAAAACCTGAATGTTGCCAATGTGTCTAGTTAAGTTAATCCAGGTGATTTCCCATCCAGAGGCTGCTCTTTCCAACAGCTAGTGACATCTGGATGGTGGTAGGGTTCTTCATGCTGAAAGGCAATCCATTTAGTTAGCCTTCCAGGGATTCGACTTATGATTTGAAAGCTATGTTGAAAGAAAAAAGTAAAACTAAAATACTTCGACCATCTATTTTTTGAATCAGACCTCTGTATGTAACTGGTGTAATTCTTTGCTAAAAGACAGTGACCATTAATGTCATGGAAGGAAGTGGTACTACAGATACTTTTCATGCTATGGCAGATTAGTTTCAGTGGTTGCCTGGATAAAAAGATTCATCTTTAATTGTGAAACCCCGGGTGCTAATAGAAAATTAAAATCATTGAATGTTTACAAGTCCTCCTTTAAGTACAAAATCGGTACTTTGCAAAGATACTCAAGATTTTAGAAACTGTGTCCTTTTGCCTTTGATCCATTCAACCATGGAGAGACTCATAATGATAGAACATAAAAGAAATGCTCATGCTGGTTAGCATAAGCTGAAATAACGTATTCTGTAAAATAACAGTGAAACTGATTTTTTGATATAGATCATTATGAGTCTTGTCTTAATGTTTACAAGTCCTCCTTTAAGTACAAAATCGTTACATCACAAAGATACTCAAGATTTTAGAAACTGTGTCCTTTTGCATTTGATCCATTCAGCCATGGAGAGACTCATTATGATAGAACATAAAAGAAATGCTCATGCTGGTTAGCAGATTTTATTAAATATCTTAAGAGGAAGAAAAATTTATTTCTGCGGTCCTGTCAAATAAAGAGACTGAAGAGATGTTACCAGAAGTTTTCTCTGATGATGTTTATGAGTTACCAGCTTTGTGCACCAGAACTGGACATATTGTGAAAGTTTCTGATAAATTATATTTGTAACTTTGATTTAAGTGTTTTATTTTAAAAGTTGTATTGCCTTCAAACAACTCAAGTTCGGAGTATGTTTATATTTTGGGTTCAGTTGATTATTTACAGTTAATGAGGTCTCTCATTTTCATTTTATTTTGCGACTCTTGATTGGCAACAGCCACCCTTTTATTTTTGAATAAGTTTTGAAAACAAAATGTTAGAATATTGATGGCTAATTGAAAAAAGTCTCTGTTTTTTATTTAAAGGAACCTGCATTCTTGTAATAATGCTTATCATTAAGGTACGAGATTGTGACATTAAAAGTAGATATAAATGACAGCCAGATTTAAAATAACTCTTTCAGCTTAGTATAAACCAAATTTTTAAAATTTGGAAGCTGCATAGTAAAATTAATTATCAGATTAAACTAGTTAAAAGGTAATTTACTGTGACTTAGCAATTTAATAAAAAACATGCTGCAGACCTAAGGCTTCTAACATATTGTTCATTAACTTTACAAACTTTTTTTTATGAGATCATTGTTCTAGGGAACATGTGAAATGTAGTTTTGTTTGCTTATAAATTTCAAACTAAGAATACTTCTAAAGATTAAACATGCATTTCATTTTACTGGTTGGATATATTTTTAGACATATATATTGATGTATTTTAGACCTTTATATACTTTTCCTGTATAGTACTGTTTCTATCCTGTATCTTTTTATTATTATTATTTATTTTTTTTATTGCCTGGCAAATAAGTAATAGAGCAGTAAAATCTCTGAACCCTGGTCATTCAACAGGTTTAAATTCCAGAGATTAGATTGGCAGCATGGGAATTTTTGTTGTTTTCCTCATGTGTCATGTGACAATGAGCCACTTTCCATTTAGAAATCTACCAAGAAGGCAGATAACCCTGACATGATATACTTCAGTCTAAAACCAATCCCATATTTTGTCAGGAAATTATATTTTTTTATCTACAAATTGCTACAGACTGTTTTGATTGAAACTTAATTATTTTACTTGTCTTAAATTTACTTTTTTCAAACGTTTGAATATTTATTTTATAGGGGGATATATGATGCTAAGCAATTATTCTGGAAACTTTCCCGAAGAATTACTTAAAAATTCAGAATCTATTGTAATGCTTGCAGCTGGAACTGGAATCACCCCAATGATTAAAATAATTCATTGGGTCAGCATTATGCAAGATAAGAAAAGGTTAGTTTTTGATTAATATAACAAATAATGAAGCATGTTATAATTTTCTGAGAAATATAAAATTTTTTCCAAATCTAACATAGAGATTATGTTATTTTAAGCTGAAATAATGTATTCTGTAAAATAACAGTGAAACTGATTTTTTGACATGGAGCAAAGCTGCAACTACAACATTTCATTCTACTAGTCTGGACAGTTTGCCTTTCTCCTGCATAGAGCAAATTTGCCTCAATCATGACTGAGTCATGAGACAATTTTTCTTCTTTATAACATTTTATTTCAAGAAAATTTACACCTTTAAAAGTAAAATATTTTTTTTTAAATACCCAAGCCATATTTATTTCAACTAATCTTTTATCTATATTGGAGTTAAAAACTATGCTTGTAATCTTATTTTTATGCATTGCCTGTGTGTAATTGTTTTATTGTTAATGTTTATAGATTACATACTTGCTGAATATTATATATGAATTAAAAAAATGCCATGTGTTTAAAAAATGATCAAGATTTTTATGTTGGACCATACAGAAAGATCTGTGGTTTTTCAAATCGAGGTTCAGTTTCTTCTAATTCATTTGTTACTGCTAAAAGCAGCTGCCTTGATTGAAATAAATGTTTAATAACTGTCTTTTCTTTTTGCATTACTTAATTCTAACATGTTATGGCATAATTTCTGTTTTAGTTAAGTGTTAAAAATGGAACACCCAAAAGTATATTTTTTGCTATTGTATTTTTCAAAAAAGGAAGAAATGCCAGTGAGGTTGTGTGTAAAATTTGTGCTGTATATTGCAGAAGCACTGTTTTTGATGCCACATTTCGAAGATTGTTTGAGAAATTTAAATGTAAAAATTTCATCTTTGAAAATGATGCTTGCTCTGGATGACTGCCGTTTGTAAACAAGGGCCTATTAAAAAAACTATCACTAAAAATCCATGTTATACAATTTAAGAACTATCAGCAAGCAAAGCATCAGAAAAGCATAATACGTGATAATTTGGAAGAAGACTATATATAAGCTGCTATGATGGATAGGTACCCTACATTTTAAGGTAGCAGAATATGCTTGCTTAAATTTTGTCATGCGATTTTTTGCTGAAAAGAAATAAAGAAGTTCTTTTTTTATATAGCATATTACAATAAATTGCTAGATACCTGTACAATAATGTTACGAGAAAAATTCATGGACCGAGTCAAGAAAACGTTATTTAGTAGCTTCCAGAGGGAGCTGTATCCTCAAAATGCACGGCATGCCTTGTGTATGGTTGGATTGCAAAGGAATAGTTGTAACAAAATCAGGCAATAAATTTTTTAAAAAATTCTGAAATGGCAGTTCTAGCAGAAATTAAAGCAAAGCACATAGGACTGACCAATCATTAAGATACTAACTTTCATAGTGGCAATGTTCAGGTCCCACATTTGAATAAATATCAGACAACTGTTTGGGTGTTTTGTTTCAACCCCCGTACTCACCAGACATTGCTTCTCAGATTTTCTTTCCGTCATGTCACTTTGAAATTCTTTGAATGGTCTGAAGTTCACTTTTGTGAAGACCACCAAATAGCAGCTTAGTAACTTTGTTCTGGATGAACCAAGTGACTTTTTTTAAAACAGACTTTTCCTGCAAAAAGTTAGTGATTAAAGTTATAAAATTCAATGAAATTTTGTTACTTTTACTTTTTCTGCAGCTATATTTGTATTTACTGTAGAAACAACACAGATCTTTCTGGATGAACCAATACATCTTCATACAAGAATGAGATTAAAGCAGAGAATCACAGTTGCTATTTAAAGAAACTTGCAAAATGGAATTAAATGTCTGGCAATGAAGGAAAAAAAAAAGTGACATAAATAAGTGATAAATCTTAAATCCGATAGTTAATATGAAACATTTTCCTGACACCTTTATGTAATATTTTCAGTTTATTTTAATTATGCACTAGTTTGTCTGATTATGAATTAAAATAAAATTCTGATTTGTTTTTCAGTTTCATTAAGATTTTTCACATTTAAGTGATTGTTTTATTATTAAATAAATACCAGAAAAGTAAAATCTGTATTTAATAAACTGAAATGAAAATGCTTGTTGCTTATGAGTATTTACTGATATTGTTTCAACCTGTAAATTTCAAATACAGTGTTAAGTCAAAATGAATACTCCAATTTCATAGGTGCACTATGTGAAATGTAATAATGTATTCACTAAAAATGTGCATACACACAAAGGTAGTGTAAGCAAGTTTTGAATGTACTCTTCACAAATGTTTGATATGCTGTCCTTTTGTTATACGGCATACATTCAAGTCTGAAATGTAATTCTTGCCAAACTTTGTGCAGCATGGCTGTATAGATGCTGATGGTAGCAGCTGTGATATGGGCTTTGACAAATCAGTCATAGTCATTGGACTTGGAGGCACATATACATGATTTTTTATGAACCCCACAGGAAAAATGACATGACATGCGAACTGGGGATCATGGTGGCCAAGACAAGAGTGCATTATCTGTAATGGATACATGACGAATCCACTGTGGTGGTAACATGTTAATGTTACCGTAACAGTGAATTTAAAATTTAAAATGGAGCATAATCAAAAGACAATCAGATTTCAAGCTTCGAGGTTTATTCAGTTCCAATATGCATTCCCTTACTTGCATTGCCAGATCCCAAACAAAAGAACATGCGTCATGAAACATGTGTGCCCTTATAGGCAATTAAATTAGATTTTACAGACAAAATTTCTTACACATTAGGCCCAGCTGAACTGTAGTTCAGAACAATCAATTTTACCAGCGACACATGAATATCTTCGAGAATTTTCAAGAATCATTACACATTTCAATATAAATTCAAGTATTTGTAATCGGGAAAATGTCACATAAACATCAAGAACATGTAAAAACTTACCATACATTTTGGGATTATCAAGCAAATTTTCATTTATCAAGGATTATTGTCATAACATTTCTGTTCAAGTATCAGGAATTTTAATCAAGTATTAAACCCGTAACATTTCAATAATACACCTAAAATACAAGAATTATTACCAGAAACCTGTCCCCCCTTTTTTATTTTCAAAATTGAACTAAATTTTAAATTTAGTTGTACATTTCTCTAATCTTAAAATTTTCTAATATATATATATATTTCAACTTTAAATGTTAAATATGCAATATTTTAAATATTAAATATGAATAGGAACATTAAGCAGTATTAAAATTATGTATTCAGTAAGTAATATTCTATTACACAATATTAATGTTTTTAGCACTAATTCAGTAACTGCACAGGTCTCTTTGTTATGCCTTTTCTCAGTCTTTATTTCACAACTGCAAATTCATCTGTCTCTATCAGTAAAAGATTTCAGAACCTTTCTCCACGTTATGTGGTAAGTGTTCATCATGTATTATCACGAAATCGTTCACTTTCAAATGTTGTTTTACACGGTGATTGTTTGCACAATTTGCATATTTCAGATTCAGCAAATAATCTTTATAGATTTCCCAAATGTTATTTAATAGTTTTTCATGATATAGAGGTGCTTTTGAGAGAATTTTTTTAGTGTTGCACACTTCATCAGTATATTTGACAGCAGGCAAATTAGAAAGTTTCTGTCCTAGCGGAAAATGAGTTTAGACAGTACAGTTTCCAATTCTTTGGGTGTCTATGATGTTCTACCAAGAATTTTTCTTATATTGTTTTGGGCAGGTCGCACAAGTCTCTCATAAAATCTACCCCATCTGGCTCATCTTTCAATGATGTACCTCCACTGAATGCCCTTTGCAACATAATAATTCTGTACACCGGTATATTTAATACCCGCCACATCTTTCTGACCTCTGCGTCCTCTGCCTTGAATTTGAATGTACGAGCATTTTTCTGAGTATATTAAAGAGCACGACCGTCTTGATAAAAATCGGCAGAAAGAAAGTAGGAAAGATTTAGTTGCGAGATCTTTTGTTAGTTGAAGATGAATGCCTCTAGTCGCTGTGCAGGTAAATAATAGGATATAGTACTTCATATTTTTATTTTTAATGAAAAATGTATCTGCATAATCCAATCTTATAACATCAAAGAGATTTGCATTTTGAATTTTAGGTGGAGGTAATGGTGCTACGACTTGTTGCATTAGTTGGGAGTTTTAATGCTGACACAGAACAGTTGCTTATAACCTATTTCACATTTTGTTGGGATCTAATTATCCAGTTTTTTTCGTGGAGGAACATGACAGTATTAGCTACGTCTGTATGAAGAACTCATTCATGTGCATTCATTTACAGAAGATCTGTAAAATGAGATTTTGAAGGAATAATTTTAGGATGCTGTTCATGAAAACTTAAAAGATGATTTATGTATTCTTCCTCCTGCTAACATTATTGTATTCTTCCTCCTGCTAACAAAACTCCTTCCTCACTTAGAAAAGGATTCAGTTCATAAAATTTAGAGTTTTTCAAAATCAGCTGTCCGGACTTTAAACTATTAATTACACCAGGAAAATGTTCATTTTGAACTTTTTTGTCAAATGCAATTCTGCAGTCAAAGGTCCTGTTTTCTTGTCAGTTTTATTTTTCAAATTGTGAATAAATCTAACAATCCATGCAGTAACTCTAATAGCTCTAATTAATTTACTATGTTTTCAAAGAGTCATTGGATGATAAGATTTTTCTGCAAAAGAAAGTAGTATTGTGGTATCATTTATACACTTTTTCTGCTCTAATTCAGCATCAGAAATCTCCATTGTTGCAATAAATTTACTAGGCCAAGCACTCACTGATTCAACTAACCAGTCTGATCTGGAGTGCCATAATTTTGAAGCCAACAAATATTCGATTGAACATCAAGATAAAATGTCTGCTGGATTATGCTTTTCATAACATGTCTCCAGTTACTTGGGTAAGTTAATGATTATATTTCCAATACGCGATTTTTTTTACAAACATTTTCCAATCTTTAGGAGCACTATGGATCCAGTGATCACTGCCATACTGTCAGTCCACAAGCT